CGCCTCGCATCCCGCACCGGCTCCCCAGCCGCAGACCTTCCCCAAGTGCGTCTCTCTTCTCTTCCTCAGCTGTGATAGCAGTGTGTACGAGCCTCCTGTGTACGCTGGTGACAAGGCTGTGCGGCGTGCTCTGCGCAACTCGGCGCCTCCTCAAGAGCCTCGAGCTGACACACTCTCCTCACACTGCCCACTCTCCCTGCTCTCCCCCCTTCTTTCACAGCGCGTGGCCCTCACCTTGTGTGTGTAGAGGTACGCCCTTCTCTCCCTCGCGGCTGTCCTCCCTCGACCCGAGCTGACGAGTGTGTCGCCTTGCTGCTCGCCACCTCGACTCTCGCGACGTCCCCCTCCCCTCATCCTCTCTGCGCACAGGCTCGATTTGCTGACTGCACGGTGCGTCGTTTCTACTCGACTAGACGGTAGCATGCGCTCGACGGCGCCGAGGTACGCGGAGTAGGAGCCCGGGGAGGCGAGGCGAGGAGGACTTGGGGGGCGCGAGGCGAGGCGAGGCAACGACAAGGCGGCGGTGGCGTGGCTGGAGGTCGAAGGGGGGTGAGTCGAGGGGGGGTGGGTCGAGCAGTAGTCGACAAGGGGTGGAAGAGGTTGGTTCGAGCAGTGGTCGAACAGCCCCGATTCGATGCCCTGGTCGAGCAGAGCTGGAAGCGGGCTGGTCGAAGCAACCCTGGTCGATGAGAGGTCGAAGGGGTCTGTTCGATGCCCTGTTCGAGCACTGGTCAAAGAGGGGTTGACAAGGGGTCAACCAAGGGGGCGGTCGAGGTGGGGGGACCCGTTGAACAGGCCTGGTCAACCCCGGTTCAATTGCTGGTTGAACCAGGGTGGCCAAACAGCCCCCCTCCGATTTGGCGTATCGAAGCGGCTTAAAACCAACCCTTGGTGACCAGTGCTCGAACAGGGATCGAACACCCCCCTCAATTCCCCCCCTCCGCCCCGCTTGATTGGGCCACCCAATTGGTGTCTGTGGCACAGTCTTGCTTTCACATATCGAGACATTCTGACATGAATGTCGTGGGCGCGGACTGCCACAAAGAGGTGGTGCGGCCTGTTTTGGAGAGCAATAGTCGGTGTGTGTAATCTATATACACTAGCGCCCTCAGAGCATCAATAGAAGCTCGGTTGATCTAGTTGGTTATGATGTGGACCTAATACGGAATCGTGTCAGTCCAATGTCGGCGGTTCGATCCCGCCACTGAGCAGTTCTTTTGTGGGCTTGCGCAACGGCCTTTTTTGCGTTCGCTACATGTTAGGCGGCCCTTCCCTTGAGTCCAGCTAAGCTGTGGCTTGCTCTTGTGCTTGTAAGCATTGATACACCTACCAATGCATTGTGCACCAGAAGCCTTGGAATTGCCGGGTGCTGCTCTAGCTAAGCACCTGGAGGCGCCCTCCTCCCCTGTTAGCATTGCACCTCACCCCCGCCTTGGTGAGCCTGCTTCCACTTGCTCTCCTGGTTTCCTCCTGCGTCCTTCACTCTTTTCTCTTGTCTCACAGAATCCCTTTGTCCCTCTTTGAGATCGCAGCGGCAACCTCAGCAACAGACAAGTGCGGTGGTCGAGTCAGGAGGAGCCTGCCCTGACAGAGCCCCACAGTGTTGCAGCCTTTTGCTCTACTTTCCCTTCTTTTCTGCTGGCTATTTTGAAACACCAAGCCCTAAGCCACTGTTTGCAGCTCTCTTGAGCCGGAGACTGCAAGTGCTCGACGGCTCCTTTCGACCCGCTTGCTGCCAGCGACAACTCCGTGAGTTCTCCCCAATAGCTGTTGCGTGCTCTTTGCAAACATTGGCGCTCAGAAGCTCGTGGTTAACCGTTACCCTGCCATGAAGGCACGCCCTGGACCGTTCTTCTGATACTCTGCAGTGCCCCGCCTGGAATTCAGCCTGCTATCCTGACCATTGCAAACTGTCCTTGCCACTTTCGAGCACTCCGGTTGGCAACTGCCCTTGCGGTTGCTGCCTCTCCCTCCACTGTTGTGGCCTTGTCATCTGCGGCGTGTGTGCCTGAGCATGACTCTTCACCTGTAATGTGCCCCACCATCCTCTGTGCACCTCGAGCCTGCCTTGTTCCATGCGGCGACCAATGCCCCTCCTTCACCCTCCTTCCACCTCCCCTCGCCGTCAGCGCCCTGCCCCCTCACCTGGCGCCAGGTCACGGGCCCTGTCCTTGGCCTGATTGTCACAGCCAAGGTCTCCATCACCCTCAGCCGCAACTGCCTCACAGCCAGCACTCCATCACCCCAATGTCTCCTTGCGCACACACTTTGGCTCATGCTCCAGGAGTCAGGGATCTTCTCCCCTCCTGCTGTCCCCTGTGCAGCAGCTTGCTGTGATTCCCTACCTCAGCAGTCATCACCCCACCACTGTTAGGGTGCAACGCACACTGCTGCTCATGGCATGGCTCACGTTACATATGTCCTTCCAATGAATCAATGTTGCCAATTGATTTGTTCGGCACTTTTGGCTCAGTGGCTAGTGCCCTGAGTGCAGTTGTTTGCTGGAGGGTTGGCAGCGACAATACACGGCCTCACGTTTGCATTGGGGGCTCGCGCTGCCGGTCTGTTTGAATAACTGACACACTTTGTGCCACACAGGACAGGAGCCGCAACCAACCTGCGAGGCAGGCAAGCCCGGGTGCGTTGTTGTCCCCTCGCGGTTCCGCCCACTCTCCCGATGCTGGACAAGCAGCTGAGCCTCTCCTGCATGCATGGCCCCCCTCCTTCACCTCGCAGCAGTGC